GCGGGTGCACAACCTGCTATCAACCACTGCCATCACCGGCAACCTGTCCCCGCATTTGAAGTGGACGGGGACCAAGGGCGACACCTCCATGTTCCGCGTGTGGGGGTGCATGGTGCAATACCGCCCGCCTACGTCAACCATTGGCAAATTCGTGAGCCGCACGCGCTAGGGCATTCACCTCGGCATTAGCCGCGAGCACAAGGCGTGGATCGTGCTAGACTTATTCAGTCAGAAGACCGCCCACGCTCGTGACGTCATTTTCTATTAACACCTCTTCCTCGAGCAGTTCCGCCACGACGAGCAGACAAATGCAAACAGTGTCTACGCGAACGACGTGCACAGCTATGCATCGCCCGAGGATGAAGCCGCCGTAGCAATCCTGGAGCAAGACACCAGTGGCGAGTTCACGAGAGGTGATTGCCACAGCAACGACGACGACGATTCCTCTGGAGGAGGAATGAGCGGAACAGGCAGAAGCGGCGGAGGCGCAGCTCCACCAGCACCTGAGCCAGAGAGCGATGACGACGACATACAGGAAGTCATCCCGCAGCATCGCCATGACAACACCGTCTCTGGGCTGCAGCTACTTGGGCTTCACACCGCAACCTCAAAGGCGACACTGTCAGAATCCCAACCATTAGACCATTGAGATAAAAGGGCTTGTTTCAGTAGTGGATCAGTGCGCCCATAACCCCCCAGGTGAACGCGCTTGTAACCCCCCCTAGGATTGATCGGGGATCTCACTGTGTAGCTCTACTGACAGACACGTGTCATCGAACCACGAAGCCCGCGCCAAGCCCTAACTGGACCGCACAGCAAGGAGTGGCGCGAGGCAATGGACGCGGAAATTAAGGCGCTCGATTCCCGTGACACCTAGGTTTTAGTCGACCGCGCAGCAATCAAAGGTGCAAGAGTCCTTTCAGGCAAATGGGTCTTCCGTGTGAAGACCGCAACGGACGGAACAATCGAACGGTTTAAGGCACGCTGGGTGGTGCGTGGCTATGACCAGAGGCATGGCATTGACTTCGACCAGACGTTTGCTCCGGTCAGCCGCCACACCTCTGTCCGAATCTTGCTCGCCATCGCAGCCGCAAGAGACCTGCCCAAATCGCCAAATCGACGTGAAGAACGCGTTCCTGTACGCGTTAGTAGACGCCGTGCTCTACGTGGAGCAGCCGCATGCATACGGCGAAGGGGATTCGCGCATATACCAGCTGCGCAAATCCCTTTACGGGATAAAGCAGGCACCAAGGCTTTGACAGCAGTATCTGCACAATATTCTGCTTGAAATCGGGTTCAAGCAGATGCCTCACAATCCTGGGATGTACCGCCGCGATTTCCGCGGCGAATACATCCTACTCACAGTCTACGTCAACGACCTGCTTTACACAGGATTGAGCAAAGAACTACTGCAGCCGGTCGAGCGGAGTCTGGCGGGGCACGTCAATATCACCTGCAACTACAAGATGAAGCAGTTCTTAGGCCTGAACATCTCCTACGCGCCAGAAGCGATTCACCTCTCAACGGCTAAGTATGCAGAGGAGCTCGGAAAGCGCTTCAACATCTCCCCTGCACCACTCTCTACTCCCTACCGAACTCCTGGACTGAACCACAGACCTGACAACAAAGGCCTATCCCCCGCTGGCATCCAGACTTATCAGCAGTAGTTGGGATGCCTTCTCTTTGCCTTTGTCACCTGCAGGCCCGACCTCTCTTACATCGCAAGCCAGCTAGCTCAGTACTCCCGCAAACCAACGGCTGAGAACCTTCTCGACCTGCAGCGCGCCTTGCATTTTTTTATCTCAACGCCCAAGATCGGGCTGTGGTACTCAACAGTACCCACCTCATCGTTCAACCTCATCGGCTACGTGGACGCCGATCATGCAGCAGATCCTGACAATCGACGGTCCAGGACTGGCTTCTGTCAGAATTTATATGTAACTGCCTGTAGCTGTAGTTTAGTGTAGTTATTATAAACTGTTGGTGGTGCACCTTCTTTGCATGCTGTGTTTACTATATGTACCCTAGCACTATAGTGAACATTCACCTTTCCAATTCTCTCGACACTCTCACCTTGGCACAAACTCCTCGTCTTCCTCTTGGCCTAGGCTACTAAGCCTAGGCCCGCTTTAAATCTCAACTACCACTTATGCTAAGATTTTAACATGGCATTAGAGCGTGTTTCGTCCTGGCCTGTGGGCCCGCCTTATGCTTCCGCTGCTGTTTTTCCGGTCGCGCGCCTCGGGCGCGTGGCGATTTTCGTCCTGTCCCGCCCCCGGGTGGCGAGTGACATCTTCTCTGCCCGTCGCGGGCCCCGTGGTACGCGACGGTGCCCTGCCCGTCATGCGCCCCGTGGCACACGACGGTGCCTTAAACTTGCCCGTCGTGCGCCCCGTGGCACGCGACGGTGCCCTGCTCGTCGTGCGCCCCGAGGCACACGATGGTGCCCTTAACTTGCCCGTCGTGCGCCCCGTGGCACGCAACGGTGCCCTGCTCGTCGTGCGCCGCGTGGCATGCGCGACGGTGCCCTTGAGCCGCCGCGGAACCGCCCCTGGCGCCTGCGACGGTATCCTGAACCTCCAAGTACCCACCCCTGGCGCACTCGGCGGTGCCTCTGCCTCACCCCGCGCCTGCACTCCCTACAGCCGCCCCTGACCTACCTGCGCCGACCCTCCGTAGCCGCTCTGCGGCTTTCTCCCCGCCCACCCCCTCCTCCTTCGTCTCCCTGCAGCCGTGGGAGGGAGGGTATGGGGGTGGCGGGTGTTGGGGTGATGGGTGGTGTGCTTCCTTTCCCCTCCTCCTCCTTTCTTTCCCACTGCTGCAGCTGCTCCTGGGGGGGAGGGTCTGAGGGTGTGGGGGAGCCAGGGGAGTGGCACTAGGGTGGCGGGTGTGAGACCAACCAGCAGCCGTCCCTCCACCTCTCCTCTCTTCCCCCCTCTGCTGCTCCTGCAGCAGTGTGGGGGGGAGGGGGAGGGGGAGGGTGAGGAGATGGAGGGGGTGACCAGCCAGAGCCAGCCCGCCTCCTCACTCTCCCTGCTGCCCCTCCTGTGGTTGGGGGGGGAAGAGAGTAAGGGGGTGGCAGAAATTTCTTGCTGTCGCCTGTCCCTTTGCTGCTGTACCTGCTCTATTACCGTACCTGCTGTTGCTGTTGCTTGTGTACCCCTGCATGTTGTGTTCTGCACAAACTCCTGCTGCAGGCAGTTATGGGGGAGTGTCAAAATTTATATGTAAGTGCCTGTAGCTGTAGTTTAGTGTAGTTATTATAAACTATTGGTGGTGCACCTTCTTTGCCTGCTCTGTTTACTATATGTACCCTAGCACTATAGTGAACATTCACCTTTCCAATTCTCTCAACACTCTCACCTTGGCACAAACTCCTCGTCTTCCTCTTGGCCTAGGCTACTAAGCCTAGGCCCGCCTTAAATCTCAACTACCACTTATGCTAAGATTTTAACAGCTTCCTGTTCCGGCTCGAACCGGCGGGACCAATCTCGTGGAACTCACAGAAACAGGAGCTGGTTGCCCTGTCGTCGGCCGAAGCGGAATTCATCGCAGCAACAGCAGCAGTTTGCGAAGGCCTCTACTTGCAAGAACTTCTGCAGGAGGCGAAAATTCTAGCTTCGCCCACCTTTCGCCTTCACTGTGATAACCAAAGCGCGATTCGCATCGCGAACAAACCTGATTTCGTCAACCGAACCAAGCACATCGCGCTGCAGTATTTCTTCGTCAAGGACGAAGTGGACAAGGGCAAGGTTGACTTGGTCTACTGCCCGATATGTGACATGGCAGCAGACTTTCTCACGAAGCGACTGCCACGCCAACAGTACCAGCACTCCTCCGAACTCAGCGAAGTACTCAAGCAGGTCAAGTCGAGCTACAACCAGGAGTGAAGGGGGGTGTTACGAATAGTAATGTGGATGAACATTACTGTGCACTCCTCACCGCAGCTAAGGAAGAACGCAGTAACAAGAACGAATGCGAGGAGTCAGAATTGACTCGAAACATCAGACGGTTGGGGTGGATCTGGACCGTCGGAGCAGACGGCATCGGGCAGATGCAGTCAAGAAGAATTGGGCGGGAACAGTTTCGTAATTGTACGCCCTGCACGGTTGGGAATGAATCCGAATAACTGAATGTACCCCTTAGAGTACATGGCTAGCTAGGTCGATTCGAATTCCCCTGTACTCATATTTATATATTTGTATTTGCATGTTTTACATTCACTCTACTATTGAGGTCAAGGGCCCACCAACACTACCTAGCTGTCTACGAACCTTCCCGAGTAGATCATGGCAGCGATCAACTTACGATCGCAACAGGCGGGAAGGTCGGTGGAAGATGGCCCGGGGATGTTGCGATTGGAGCGGGGGCGACTTGGAAGTGTTTCGGGGCGGAAATGTAGGCCGAACAAAACTGACGTGTGGCCCTCGGAATTGTACCTGCAAAAGGCGAGTAGAGTAAGGAATTATGATTCCCGTAATCCTTACCTTTATATCAATTTGAGGTAATACAAAGCTCTGCTGCATGCATTGTAGCGGATGCGTCGCCTGCCCTCAATGCTTCAAGCATTGCGATTCGAATGAACAATGCGTCTTCCGACGAGGGTGAACACACGTCAAGCCTGTTATTGCCTTAGCTAGGTAGTCGACCTGTCAGTTGCCGAGTTGTGCGAGGATGTAATGACCTGGTTGATCCATGCATAAGCCATACCTGAAGGTTGCTTTTTGCTGCTAGCTTTTTACATTCTTCACGCAGCTTAATCAAATCTTTGAGAGACCGATGGAGTCTCTTAAAGGTGTTTTGGGTAGTAGGAGGCTGTTGGGAATCTCTTTCAACAAGTCGAAGTCCAGTAAGCACGGTGATAATCATGTTGCAAATATTACACGACAGATCACCAAGGACGTTCCAGTGAGGCCTCCACTATCTCTTTTGAAGGTATGAATGTTGGCTGTGACATTGTTTGACCGTTGGAAATCCTGACGTGCCCAAAATTGCTGCAGGAACTCGCCGATGCTTCTTGTAACACTGATTCCTACGCTTCGATCATGGATGTGATCGCTTATCGGCTGGACAGGGGGGTGAAAAAACCGAGTTCATGGTAAGAATCCAAAAAAAATATAATTGGGAAAATATACCATGGAAATCATTATCTGCTATGGCTCGTTCTTACCAGGAACAAGGTGTATAACTCATTGGTGGTTGTCGAGCACCTTATCATCTATGGAGCCGGTCACATACGGGAAGATCTTCGGAAGAAATACCTCACCATGGTTTGTTAGGCTGATCTTGTGCAAAATTCTGAGTGCCCTAGTAGCGATTCGAATTGTCTTATTTATTACATTTTTTTTTTGCAGCTGGAAGTTTTCTCGAAAGATTTTCGTTGTGTGGACAAGAGAGATGGCACTGACAATGGATATTCTGTTCGTGTAAAGGTACTTCAGTTAATGCTGGACCTTGCTGCCTTAAGATTATGCTCTAATGGCACCACCCTCCACAACCCCTCCAACCCCCCGTTACGCAGGCTGCTGCTGTTTTAAACCTTCTTCTGTCCGAGTCTCTTGCTGACGAAGAGAGAATGAAAATGGGACACCAAGGGTCTTACTCCAGTGAAGCATCCTCAAACGGAACATCACGATCTTCGAGCAATCTTGAAGCATTTTCTAGTGGAGAGATAGGCGGGAATTCGTTTTTACATTCACTGCAAACTCTCACGATAATGTCACCGTCAGAAGCTTCCAAGGATTCTGACTTCTGGAGTCCGATCCCTGCGCTGCCACCACCACCCAGTGATACTCGCCGACACAGAAGATCAGTCAGCTACCCAGACTCTTCCAACATTGATACCCGTTTTGGCGGATCGTCGTCAGAGAAACCACATCAATTTGCTCCTGCAGAAGATGAGGATGCTGTCAGCCAACCTATCAAGGCATTCCCTCTGCCACTACAGCGTCAACGGTATGTTTCTAGCATTAGCTAAGGAGCACCTACCTGACGAGGTTGACTGATTTTGTTTCTTTACTATTACAGTTCAAGGAGATCTAAATCGCTGGACTTTGATTGGCCAAACGAGCAGGGACCAGAACAGGCCTTCTCCACGGTTCCTGGTGTTGTAAATGGTGTGGTTGACTTGTCTGCTGCTTCAGTTACAAATACCTCTGCTCTTCCAGCTGCAGCTTCATCTTCAAAGGACCTGGGAACCCCACCTGCATCAGCAACACGCATTGGCCAGTATTCATATGGCCCGCAAGCTGGAAGGCTGGTGCCATGGGCAGTTGCTCCTGGTACAGAGCAGCTTCCAGTGCGACCGGTGGCATCATTGCAACCTGCAATATCACCCTTGGTCGCTATATCAACACTACCAGCCATTGACAATCTAGGGACTCAAAACAACAATCCGTTCATGTTATGAGTGAGTATACTGTAGAAAATGGTTCTAGTCTGCAGTAGCACATTGTCACATTCTCAACTGCAATAAAACATTTGCTGTAGAGTCATAAATTAGGGTAAAAGCTTTTAACACAACAGCCTGCAGGCTGGTAAGACTCTCCCCTCCAAGCCAAGCACAATGGTGGTAGTTGAGTTGCTAACAGAATGGGGTACACCGTACAGTGATGATTTGCCCATGCTTTGCAAAATGACTCGGTATGAGCACCCCCACTGTGTTTCGCCAGGTGCTGGGGATACGAGTCCATCATCATATCCACAACCACCACAATCAGCATTCGTCCGTATGACATGATCCCTGGTCGGAATTTTTTTCATTATTTCTTTCTTTCATTCAGCTTCCAGAGCACTGTTTATACTTTAAAAGAATCAGAGGATACAGTACGTATATCACAGCTACCATACTACGACACTTCATTCACATGGAACATTGTTCATACCCAAATCCATGTGGTCTTTGAAAATGCAGGATTTGTTTCTCTGAGCATATATCCGCCGTATAGGGTACACCAATCGCCAAAACCAGCTTCCACCATTTACACCATTGACCAGATGATCACCGTCAAAATGTGCAACTCACCACAATCTCCGCAGCTTGTGCCCATGCCAATACGCCAATGCCACAATGCCTGCAGCAATAGCCACTCCTGTAGTTGCCTGCATTAAGAAGTCACTCTGTCCCACAGCCACCCCACCAGCTGCAACAGGTTTCTCCCCCACAGCTTGTCCTCCCACTTCTCCTCTTGTTAATGTACTGCCCTTTTCAACCCGCTGTCCATTACCCACTTTCCCCTTCTGACCTACAGCATTTGGTGCAACCGTCTTTCCTCCTGCCAGTCTTCCTGCTCCTGGCACTTGCAGCTGCCCTCTGGCCACCAATTCAAGCAGATATTGGGTCCCTTGCTTTGCCAGCACAGCTTTGTCTTGCACCTTGGGGCAGGCACGAGCAGCAGCAGCCAAAACCTCATATTCCTCCTTTGTTCCACCTTCCAGGAAGCATCCCACCAGCCGGCCCTTATCCACCCAGAACGCCCCCAAATGGTGCGCCCTGACCTTCCTTTCTGATCTCCCTTGGTTGCCGCTGTCCGATGTGGGTTGACTCAACACTGGTGGTCCTGATGCTGGTCTCTGTTCTGAACCTTCTTTCTTCTTGGACTCTTCCGGTGTGCTTGCTCCCAAATGCACTTCCTCCATGCCTCTTGGCTCCGCTCCAGAAGCATCATCAGCAACAGCGCCACTGCCTGTCGCCAACCCAGAAGCTTGTCTCATGGCCATCTCATCCCCAAACAAAATGCACTCGCCCACATTATCCCCGTAAAACTGCCACGACAGGTCAAAAACCCGTGAGTAGAAGTACGGCACGTAGTCGTACCGCGAGGGAGCCCCTCTCGGCGCCATGATCGCCTGCACAGCCGCAGCAGCCGACTTCCTCGCATGGTCCACATGCTCCAGGCGCCTCCTCGCCCCGCCGTGGATCCCCAGGGGAACGGCAGCCACATCACCGATGGCGTAGACTGAGGCGTCTGAGGTCTGCATGCGGGGGGAGACGCGGATGCCGCCCTTGTCGATGGCTAGCTGGCCCTCAAAGGGCGCTGTGTTGGGGCGGATGCCGATGCCCACCAGCACCATGTCCGCTGCTATGTGCTGCCCGTCCTTCAGCGCCACTGCCGCCACCTGTGGTGCCGGGGCAGGTGGGATGGGCACAAGGACACAACCAGCGGCATGCGGAGGGTTTGTGTTGAGGTGGGGTGGGGAGGGGATGGGAGGGGAGAGAGGAAGAAATAAGATTTGAAGTGCGTTTCAGTAAGTAGAGAAAATGTGAAGAATGAAAGCGGAGGAGGAATTACTGAGGTCAACTATACTGGCAGGTCAGAAGTGATGGGCAAGAGGACACAACCAATCAAGGTACAAGCGGGGTTTTGGGTTGAGGTTGGGAGTGGTGGTGAACGGAGGGACGAGGGTAGAAGAGAAAAACTTGGATAGGAGTGTGGTTAAGTTGAGGGATAAATCGAAAGGATAGATACATGCCAGGGCAAGGGAAAATCATGGGTTGACAAAGATTGTGAGTGGTGCACGAGTGGGTTGGTAGGCACATACATTGTTTGTGGTGCGGTCCCGTTCAAAGCCCACAATGACCGAGCCCTTGATGAACTTGACCCCCTTCTCCTCGTATAGTCGCTCGTAGAACGCTGCTATCTCCGGGGTGAACAGACGAGGCACTGCTCACACACCAATCACACACCCACCCTCGCATTCACCCCCCATTTCCACCCCCACACCACACCGCAAATCCCATCAACCCAGGATGCATTTATGGACACACACACAGGCACATAATTTTGCCACTATGTAACTTCCATGCAATCAGGAAAGAGTAACCGCAAAAAGCGCATGGGTTCGGTTCGGGTTTGCTAGTCCATGCCCTTAAATTCTCACTGCAGTGAGGTTCAGGGAAGACCATAGTGACGCGAATGCCGTTGGCCACCAGTGCAGCTGTTGCTTCCATGCCTGCAAGACAATCACGTGACATGCAACCATGCAAACCCATGCCACACAAAGCCATACCGCACAATCCCGTATTGTGAGTGGGGCCAGTCATGCCATTGATGGAATCCCAGTCACAGTTGCAAACCAGCACCACAGGCACCATCGTTTCTCTACAACACAACGCAGCAGTAACACGTGAACGGCCCATGCAGGATCATCTGGTGGATAGATGCACAACAACCCCCACCCCCACCCGCACCCGCACCCCCACCCGCACCCCCAACCCCACCCCCACCCCCACCCCCACCCCCACCCCCACCCCCACCCCCCCCCCTTCCCCGCCCTTGATACAGTCCCATAAACCCACCCACCCACCCATTATACGCGGCGCTCACCAATGTAGCCGCCCCCAATGACCACGGCGGTGCCCCCCTTGCAGGCGGCCATGGTGGCGACGAGCCTGTCCGCGTCCCGCAGGTCCCTCAGGTAGCACACGCGCCCGCTGTCCGCCCTCGCCACTCCGAACTCCTCCAGCCGCAGCGCCTGACGCAGCGAGAGCATGACAGACGGAAGGAGGAGAGGAGTGCGTGGAAGGGGGTGAGCCGAGGACGGAAGATGGAGAGAGAGAAAGAAGAGAGAGTGAGAGAGAGACGGAAGGAGAGGGGGAGAGGAGAGGTGGGAGGGGTTGAGAGGATAGGTGGGAGGGGGGGTTGGGAGGGAGATGGAGGGGCATAGCGGGGACAGGAGGGTGCGAAGGAAGCAGTGAATGGATGCTGATGTGAGACAAAACGGGCGTGACGCGGTGGTGCGACGTTTCTCTCACCCTGGCACCGGTGGCGACGATGAGCGTGGTGTACTGAATGGTCTCGCCCGCTGCTGTCGTCACCTTCTTGCGCAGCACATCCGCTGATACCACACGCGTCTCCAGCAGCACATCGATTCCTGTAACGGAGTGGGAAAGGAGAGCGCGAGAACGTGAGCCGACGGAAAGAGAAAGACAATCACGTCACACTGGGCGCGAGTGGAGTAAGGGGAAGTGAGAGGGTGCTAGTGACGTACGGAGAAGGGAGGGGTTTCCTGCTAAACAAGGCAGATGATAGAGGCCAACAGATTTGAGCTGGCCAAAGAGAAGGAAAGAGCGAAAGAGGAGTTTATCGGGTTACCTACCATGTTCATTGTACCACTTGGCGGTGTGTCTATCGCCGCCCGCCCCGACACACGTGTGAAATACTGGCAGTCGCACCGCGCCTGGAAGTTCGAGGAACAAAAACGACAATTTTCAAAACGTTGGGTCCGAGAACCAAGTGCCACGAGGTGATCCATGAAACGGGTGGCATGAACAAAACCTGGACAAGACGTCGTCACGGAAGTCAATGTGAGTATCAACAAGCAGACAACGGAACCTTTCTGTGAATCACCAATGCACAACATTGCCCACGCATGCACATAAAGCGCGTTCGGACGGCCTTCTTTGAGATGAGACGTACCTTCCGGCATAAGGTAACCCTTGCTTAGCGCTGGCCGCTCGTAAGGTACCACCTGTAGCGTGAATGATCAATGAGGGAGAGGAAAAGCAGGTCGAAGTGATAGAAGGAATATTATTGCCCGAAACATGGAAAAGCTGCCTAGTATGTCAATCGGTTGAGAAAGTCGTCGTGCACGGTGCATTTTCTAAACTTCCACTAAGGACGACGACTTGAAGAAATAAATATATCTTGCAATAGTATGTTCCACAAAATCGGTATAATATGCTGAACAAAAGCAGTCCGTGAAGTGCAGGATACAAATGTCCCGAAAGCATAAAGAAACAAACGAGTTGAAAGAGGCTAACCTGCTCTTCCGATACAATGCACAGCTCTCCGCGAGGCACTCCGCGTTTCACAAATTCGTCAGCAGCGTATCCAGCGGCCGTGCCGCCTCCTAAAATAACGTATCTGTACGCTCGACCCATCTCTTCGCGCCTGGCAAAATACGAACTTGTATCAAGCAAGCACCTAAACGTCAGAATCGCATCAGCTACACGGCTAACGCGACGGCAATAGGGCCTTAGAGACACTGAACTTCAGAACCAGAACCAACAACTCCAGCATTGGTTGTGCCGCCAAGGTTTGCTTGTCAGAGTAATCCTGTCCCCTTCCCTGATTCCTGACGTCGGGTATCAATCAACCCATCTAGCTGACCAGCACGAATATGCGTATCAGCACGAAAACTCTACCTTGAGAAGCTGTACATTGATGGGGGGAAGAGAAGGGGACGGTACATGCCACTGCGATGTTGCTGATGTGGCTTTTGTGGTCCCGCCGCGCTTTCGCTGATTGGCCTATGTCCTGGTTGGTGTGGAGCCAGATGTTACATCTCTTTCGCAGACAGACGTCGAGACCCCTTCTCCTCGCAGCAGCCTCTTGCTATCCGCCATCATCGGTTCCTCGTAAATCACAGTAGTCCTATAGCCTTGGGCGTAGCGGGCGATGCTTGCGATGGTTTCGGTTCGGGGAAGGCTTGTGGATGCGCTCTGGAGCGCACTTCTAGGCTCGGCAGGACGAACTTGGGCTGTGTAAACGTCAACATCAGTGTTGGAGAGTGGACTTGGACCACGCAAACGAAGCCAAATTCTTGCAAGCGTGGGCTGAGGTGATGCTGTGTCAGCATGACGAGGATGCTGGCCCACACAAAGGCTGCGTTCTGCGGGCGCATCAGCTCAAATGCGCCCTAGGCTCGGCCTGATCCGCACATTGACAAAATGCTGGATAGGTTTCTGAAACAAGGTCATGAACTCTCAGGCCGTGATTGGCTGGACTTTGAGGTCACCAACATTTCCATTTTGTAAGGAAATTTCCTTTTCCTTACTTCGCATCCCTGCTCAGCGCGTACACCACTGTTCTCGCCAACAGCACCCAACAGTAAACCGTTTGTCAAACTTATATGCTATGGTCTATCTAGGCTGTAGTGGGGTAAACACTATAGGGTACAACATTTCTAGGTTTCCTATCAGTACCCACACTTTCCTTAGTCATTTCATTCCTCATTTCTTCGCATGGTATAGAACAGGTTCCCTAGTGGGAACACTTCTTAGGGCCCACCACTGGAATCAAAGTTTTTTTTTTCCTGACCGGAGCGCGAGTCGCCCCTGCCCGAGGCGCGCCCCGTGGGTCGCCCTCTCGTCGCATCCCCTGCCCTTACCGGCCTGTCGCGCCCTCCTAGAGGCCCCTCGCGCCACCCTTAGCGGCCCCGTCGCCACCCCTAGCGGCCCCGTCGCCGCCCTATACGGCCCCGTCGCCGCCCTTTGCGGCCCCGTAGCCGCCCTTCTAGGCCCCTCGCGGCCCCTTCGCGGCCCCGTCGCCGCCCCTTCGCGGCCCCGTCGCCGCCCTTCGAGGCCCCTCGCAGCCCCTTTGCGGCCCCGTCGTCGCCGCTAGCGGCCCCGTCGCCGCCCCTATCGGCCCCATCGCCGCCCTTCGCGGCCCCGTCGCCACCTCTAGCGGCCCCGTTGCCGCCCTTTGCGGCCCCGTCGCCGCCTCTAGCGGCCCCGTCGCCGCCCATCACGGCCCCTCGCGGCCTCTTCTCGGCCCCGTCGCCGCCCCTTGCGACCCCGTCGCCGCCCCTTTCGGCCCCTCCCCGGCCCCTTCACCGCTGATCCGCCGAGCCGCCAAACAGCCGAACCGCCGAGCCGCCAAGCCGCCGACCCGCCGAGCCGCCAAGCAGCCGAGCCGCCGAGGCCGCCGTCGAGCCGCCACTACCGAGCCGCTGCCGCCGAGCCGCCGTTGAGCCGCTGCCACCGCAGTTGCAGCCCTGTTCCTACCGAAGCCCCGGCCCTACCCACCCGGACTGGTGAGAGCACTCCCTGCTACTCCAGTGTCCTTACCTTTGATGCTGAGGGTCGTGCTGTTGACTTCGAGGTCTGGGTCGATGACCTACAGCTCTTCCTACAGTGCGATAGGGCAGACGGACTCTCCCTGTTCGATCTCACCTCTGGTGCCTCTCCTGCCCCGCCGGCAGATGCTGACAACACTGTTTGCTCACAGTGGGCCACACGCGATGTTGCTGCCCGTCTTGCTGTGCGTCGCCACTTACCGACCACATAGCGTGCGCACTTTAGTCAGTACAAGTGTGCTAAGACCTTGTACGATGCTCTAGTTGCACGCTACTCTTCCCCTGCCACTGCTGCCCTTAGCCGCCTCATGCTGCCGTACCTGTTTTCTCACCTCGCCTCCTTTCCCACAATCGCTGACCTCATTACGCACCTTCGCACTAGTGACACCCGCTACCGCGCTGCGCTTCGTGCTGAATTCTGCGCCAAGAACCCCCCCCCCATGTACATCACCCTCTACTACCTAGTCACCCGGCTCCCTGACTCCCTTCGCTCGGTCAGGGACCACTCCATCTCTGTTTGCCCCACCACACTCACCGTTGACCTCCTCGAGGAGCGCCTCCTGGCAGTTGAGAAGAGTATAGTCGTTGTAGGAGCCTCTCGAGGTGACCCTTGTGCCCCTGTCTTTGAGGGGTGCTCCCCCTCCCCCCTTTTGCCCTCTGTTGCCTCTGCTGTTGCCGTCGACTTCGTTGGCACCGAGTCGGTCGGCGCTGCGTCAACCCCTAGCGGGCGACGCCGCACCGGCAAGGGCAAGGGGGGCAAGGGCGCTGGAGGGGCTGGCAAGGGCGGTGGAGGTGGCGGTGGAGGCAGTGGAGGGGGTGGGGGTGGTGGTGGGAGTAGTGGCGGGGGTGGAGGTGTGAGTGGCAGCAGTGGAGGCGGAGGAGGCGACGGCGGTGGCGGTGAGGGCGGAGGCGGCGGAGGTGGCGGAGGCGGCGGCGGCAGCGATGGAGCTGGTTGCGGCGATGCGCAGAGGAGTGGCTCCAGTGGTGGTCTGCGCTAGCTGTAGCAGCGCACTCGTGAGACCCCGTCCCCTCAGCAGCTTCGTAAGTGGTACGCTGGGCGTTAGTAAGGTGGGAATACTGGTCCCTGTACCTACAACCTTCGCACCGGCGACCGCGCTGGTGAGCAGTGCGGGGGCTTGCACTCCACCCAGCGCTGCTTCGGCCGCCTGACGGACGCTTGGCGTCACCAGTCCCTGACGCCACTGAGATCCCTCGCTGGGGAGAGCTGTCTAGGGCGGGGGTAGCTATCTTTGATCTTGATTATGATGCTATTCTTGCTGCCATGTATGCTGTGTCTACTAGTGATGAGGGTGACTGTTACCTGTGTGTTCCGCCTGACCCGGGCATTGAGGCTGCTGCTCTAGGTGCTGGTGAGGCTGCTGCTCTAGGTGCTAGTGCATCTGCTGCCCCAGGTGCTGGTGAGTCTGCTCTCTAAGGTACCACGTCGGCTCAGGCCTTACACACCTTCACCCTTGACTCGGGTGCTTCCCGCTCCTTCTTTCGAGATCGCACCACGCTTACGCCGCTTAGTCGGCCGGTTGCGGTCTCCCTGGCGGAACCCTCTGGGGGTCCTGTCCTTGCTCACTTCTCCACTGTCTTATTGTGTCCGGCGGCCCCCTCTTGCACCCTGTCTGGTCTCTACCTCCCCTTGTTCTCTACGAACTTGGTGAGTGGTGCTAATCTACAGGATGGGGGGGTTGACCAGTTCACTCCTGCGAGTCAGGGGGTGACCCACTGTACGTGTGCTCGGACGGGCCAACACTTGGCCACATTTACCCATCGGCTGGGGTCAAGCCTGTACACACTGACTATTGAGTCTCCTCCGGTTGCTGAGTCTGGTCAGGTCGCTACGTCGAGTCAGGTGTTTGTTGCAGCATCCAGGTCTGGTCCTGAGTCTGCTTCCTGCTCGTGTCGTCTCCTGTCCCACCAGACTCTTCTCTGGCACCACCGCCTTGGTCACCCCTCCCTGCTTCATCTTCGAGGCATGGCCTCCCGTGTCCTTGTCTCTGGTCTCCCCCGGTCCCTCCCTCCCCTCCCTCCAAGGCCTGCCCCTACCTGCGTTCCCTGCGTCAAGGGGCGGCAGCGCGCCGCCCCTCACTCCTCCGAGTTTCCTTCGACAGAGGCTCGGCTGCAGACTCCTCACATGGACTTGTGCGGCCCCGCCCGCGTCAGTTGCCAGGGTCACAAGCGTTACTTCCTGTTGGTGGTTGACGACTAGTCGCGTTACACCACAGTCTTCTCCTTGCGCAGCAAGGGTGACGTCAGTGAGGTGTTGATCGACTGGATCCGCGCGGCTCGTCTCAAGCTCAGAGAGAGTTTCGGCTCGGACTTTCCTATTCTGCATCTGCACTCTGACAGAGGCGGGGAGTTTTCCTCTGCCCTTCTGAGAGCCTTCTGTCGTGCACAAGGCATCCACCAGACCTTCCACTTCCAGCCTCTCCACAGCAAAATGGGATTGCTGAGCGCCGCATTGGCATGGTCATGGACGTCGCTTGTATGTCCATGATCCATGCGGCTGCTCCCCATTTTCTGTGGCCGTTTGCGGTTCGGTACGCGGCGCATCAGATCAACCTTCACCCCCGGGTCTCCTTGCCGGAGACTTCCCCCACCTTACGGTGGACGGGGAAGGT